CAGTTCCCGGTCAGGCACCCAACTCACCCCCGTGGACCTTTGGCTCAAGCCAGCTGAGATCGCGGCTTTTTTCCGTCTCCCAACTGCACCCATTGTGGACTTCGGCGGGGACTCCTGACCGAACAATGGGCTACTACCCAAACAACCTCTTTAAGAAGCCTGTACTACGGAGCACTTTTGTTCCCTAAAATTTGCTATAGGCCAGTTGAGAAGGGCATCTTGAGCATTAATCCATGCTGCAAAGCGTGCGAAATGACGGAAACCCTTGGCAAACAGCATCGTAGAAAACGCTACGCACACAAGTAAACAGACATCTCCCAGTCATTTAATTACAAACACTGAAAAGAAAACACAGCACTGACAACATTCTAGAGGATGTAATTTCTGGGGAAAGTGGGGAAGTATGGTCACTGCTTTAAGGCGAATTGACAATTAAGTGGATGCAACTGTGAGTAACCAGTAAAAGATGAATGTTGCCCAATTAGCGGCTTTCTCTCAGATGAAGTCCCCCCGCTGCCAATGGCATGCTGCAGAAACTAGTTTCCGATCAGTACCCAAAGTCATAGTTGTCGCAGCCATGCCTAAACAGACTGCTCTAGATGAAATAGTGTCAAAGGCTTTGCGTAGATGTCGTAAAAAGAGACACGCAAATTTATAGGTTGCCACTCAAACAAAACCACAAAACTGTGCATTAACGATATCTGGCTCAAGGTCACAAGTCACGTACCTGTTGGCTCTTCTTTGCATCCACCGATGATGGCAATCCGGAGGCGGAGGAGTTTGAGCGGTGGGGAACTTCTGGCTTGGGCACTAACCGATCTTCAGTGCAGTTTGTACAATTTCTAGTCACCGGAGGAGACACCCTATCCGAGGAGGCACTCCTGGCCGCCTGTGATTCCCTGAGTGGGTCAGAGGGCACCGAGAGCAGTGTGCGCATACCTGGGCCAAGTCCTCGTTCCGGGAACACCGAACCAAAGCCTACAAACGCACAAAGGATTCAAACCAATCAGAAGGAAAGGGCCATCGGATGACGAGGTAGAGAAGACAGTTAACTGCCAATACAAGCGAACATGCGAGTCCCAGGAAGCTACTGTTTCCTACTCATGTCTCTGATGATGAATCCGCGGCAGATGTCGAAACGTCAGGCGAATAAACGTATTGTCCTAGCGATCGAGTCATCCTCTTCTCAAGACAGTTTACATCGCAAAGACGTGGGTAAAACGAGGACCTCGAGATACTTGCCGAAGAGGAAAACAACCGATAGCCCCTCTCCGAAAGGTCTACAGAGTTCATTTAGACAAAAAGGGGCTTGAACACAACAGCTACACTTTTTCGTATGTGTGTTAGTTTGACGGTCACGCGCGTGTGCGCGACAATGTCCACCGTGTGCCCCACAACAGGTTGGGTGGGGGGGGTATGTAGGACAGTGAATCGCGCCTACATATACTGGAAGGACATACTGAGATTTGGAGAAGCGCGAGTACAAGTTATACTATGAGTTAATACAGGGGGGTTTGGTGTGGGAAAAAACTAAGGTCGCTAATTCCGTTGACCCAATTGTGAAACATTCGCGGCCTCGGTGGGAGTCGAACCCACACACAGCAGGAAAGGCTTTTA